CGCCGGGGGAAGGCCCTGCCCTGCCGGCCGGCCCCGCCCGGCCCCGCCCAGCCCCGCCTGGCCCCGCCACCACCGCGCAGCGTCGCGCCGCGCCGCGCCGCGCCGCGTCGGCCGTTGCCCTCCGGCCCGCCCGCCACACACGCACGAAATGGGCGGAAAGCGGCGCTTAGGAAACGAAATGAAGCTCATTTTGAAATCAAGGAGGAAACGGTTTTTAAAAAACATTCCAGTAAATGCGACGTCTCTAAGGTGAAGAAAATTCAGTTATGAACAAATAAACCAACAAACTGGAAACTAAAGTACGCCGTACTTGTTTTCCGTAACTTATCCGTATTTCCGTAATCGATAGGGTAAAACGGAAGTAATTTTATTTTCATACCCTCCATACTCGTCACGCTCTTCTCCGCTCCGCTCTACAGCTGCCCGAACTGCCTGGACGACCCACCATTCCTATCTCACCGTCCCTGCCCTGCTACCTCCGCCCTGCCAACCTCGCGGAGCCATCCCTGCTCCACCCCCTTCGCTCCCCCTCCGCACTCCATCACCGCTCCATCTTCGCCCCGCCATCCCCGTTCCATAATCACCGCCCCGCCATCCTCACCACGCCACCTCCGCCCTGATACCTCCGACCCGCCGTGCCGGGTCGCCGTTTCCGCTCCATCATCTCTGCCTTGCTACAGTCATACAATAATTTATTACTCGTATATTGGAATGAAAGAATACAATTTTATGCTTACAAAGAGGCAGAGTCTGCTTTAAAAGAAATTTTTTGAATATATTTCAATGTAACATTTTGTAAATGTGTCATGTTTATTATTTTTGTATAATTTCTGAGCATAAGACATAGACTTTAAAAACAAGTTGAAACTAAATCAAATTGTTTCTACGAATTACCAGTTATTATGATTGTTTTTCACATACCTACATTGTTTCAGGATAAAATTAAAATATTCAAACATTTTTATGAACAAATAAATCCATTAACAATTATGATATAATCCTAAGATTAAGAATCACTTTTAAAAGAAACTATTTTAGTTTAATATCAAAAATATCTTTTATTCCAAACAAAATCTTCCAATTGAAGAAATTGGTAAACAATTACGGTGGTTATTTTATATAAGCATATTTTTTCATGCTAATTATTATTATTATTATTATTATTATTATTATTATTATTATTATTATTATTAAATTCACATTATTTTTCCTTCATCCGGTGACATCCGGGTCTGGCAGTTTCGCGAGGCAGAGGCTAGAGGCAAGTGTGCCAAGTACGTTGTCACTAAGGTTGTGAGTTCGAAACGCCCATGAAGACGTGTATGTAATGTGTGAGTTTTTTTAAGTTTTCAATTTTGTTTGTAGCTTAGGGACATCCCAGTTCCTTGAGTATCAATACCTTAATTCCTGTATAACACATTGCCCTAGCTGGTAACTGCGTTTTAAATTTGGTGCCGAAAGCTGGCAGTTGAGACGGGAGAGAAAAAGAGAGAAAAATCGAAAAGATAGTTACGACTCAAAAGAAATGGAAACTTGTTCGAGAAATGTTGTGCCATTTTGTATCACCACTAGTTACTTTCTCATGTACTATTATGAAGAATAGAAAAAGTTTAGGTGCAAGGGGAAAATGCCACTTCTTCGACAGAAAAACTTCTTTTGTAGGGCTCTGATACCGAAAAATTGGACATTACTTTCTCCTATATATGATATATTAGAGTGTTCTTTGATACCGAAGAAGTTGTTTTCAGCGAAACATATTTGTCCATCTGCCCGAATGTGTTGCAAACTCTGGCACCTAAACTGATCAAGGACTTTTTAAAAAATGGTTTTTCCTCCGGATGCATTGGCTGCGCATAGCGAATTTGAAAAGGACATTTTAGTTTTGGGGGTACTTTAAATGAAGCCTTCATTACGTTTTCAAAATTATCTGAAAAATGGCTCAAATATTTTGAAAACGTTTTGTTTGAAGAGAGCTATGCGTGTTCATAAAATTGGCGCAGGATTTTCATTAAAACCTCTGAGTTTTCGAAAATTGCAAAAGTTCAAAATTTTTTGGATCCCTTCTTACATTATTGACTACATTCTTGAATATAAAGTTTGATTATTTAATGATCCTTTTTTTATTGAAATGAAGTGGTTGGTTTCTTTCTTCGAAATTAGATCTTTAAATGATTATTCAGATTGTACTTTTTTTTCAAAACATTAGGAATTTTCAAATAACTCTATTAAACACTAACAATTTTCCAAAAGTTCATAAACAAGATTTTCTCAGAAACGGTTACAAACGAATTTCTTTAAACTTTTTGTAGGTTTAATGTTATCAATATGGTGCGATATGTCGCAAATTAAAAGCCAATTTAGGCACCTCCTTCCGCACGCGTGTGTGTACATTGATTCATCTCCCTTCATCATATTGAATTATTTTCGGAAGTTGCAAATACACTGGTATTTGTGAAAATTGCAACATCAAAAGGGAGATATACTATTACACTCAATTTTTCCACAGACTAGGAATATTACTATATAAAAATGGTACGAATTACAGAATTGTATCTGCATTCTGACCTTGAGTATTTAGTACGATGTAAAACTGCCACGGACTGCCATTACAGCATCTAGACGTCATTGCATGGATTTAAAGAGAACCTGGACATGCTACTGAGGAACACACTGCTACTGTTTCTATACGTGACCACAAAGCATCGACAGGGCTGCAGGAGGACCAGAACGTACAAGTTGCCGGCCGACCGATCCTATCCAAGGCAAGTTCGATGGGCGACATGTCAGGTGAACATGCAGGCCAGGGAAGCAGTGGACCCCGTCGTTCATGGCAGGAAGCTTGCACATTCCTTGCCACATGCGGTCGGGCATTGTCCTGCTGAAATATGGCATGTGGGACTGCTTGCAGGAGGGGCAGTACCTCGGGCTCTAAAACCTCTCTGATGTAGCTGTTGCTGTTCAGATTGCCATCAATGCGTACGAGAAAAAGCACATATTGTAGCAAATGGCGCCCCAAACCATCACACTTGGCGTTTGTTCCTAATGGCACGGAATAATTCAGGCTGGCAGTGTGCAATTACCATGGTATCGTAGAACACGTACGCGGCCATCGCTGTACCGCAAATTGAAGTGAGATTCGTCCAAAACACATTTTGCCACTCAACACACCAGTAACACGTTCAAGTGCCTATTGCCTGTGGCCAACGGAATCTGTCGCAGTGGTATGTATGCCACTAGTGCAGCCCTCAGCAGATAGCCTCGAACCGTCGACAAAGACATGACCACACCCGTTACAGTGCTGCAACGTCGAGCCAAAACTGTCGACGACGCCGTTTATGGCTATTCGGACAAGAAGGCGGTCATCTCGCGATGTGGTCACATTCTGTGGTCCAGTAGCCGCCCGTCGCTGTGTATGATCCTTCTCTACTCACTGTTTTCACACATGCATCACTGACGTAGCAACGCGATGTCACGGTACGACAAACCTGCTTTTTGAAGGCCAATTATTCTACCCCGTTCAAACTGACTCAGTTGTTGATTTTGCGCCCTTTGGCGTCGACGAAGCATACCGGCATTTGCCTGCACGTTTCCACGTCGTATGGCAGCTGTATACTAGGATTTATTTAACCGTGCACTTGACATAAATCAGATGTTCACGGTTTCATGCAATCGGGAGAAGAACGTCTTCATTGTGATGTCACTGTAGCAACATATAAGCTCCCGATTGGATGAGACCTCAGCAACTGATTTACGTCAAGTTCACGACTACAGTACCGGCAGCGTATAAGCGACACTGGCAGTTCTCTCGCTACATGCAGCGGCACGTCATGTGACCTGCTCTAAAGCAATCAGCTTTCGAGGATTTGTTTGCTTTCTAACAGCCAGAGTTTGGCGTTGTCTCTCATCTGACTCACACGAAGTCGCAGGCGATTAAGTTCGTCTTTGGCAAAAGATATGAACATATCAAGACGTGTCATTAAGTTTTAATGTTTTGATATTTAATTTATTAATGTAGGTGGTGCTATGTGTACAGTAATGTGTGGCAACAGCGCACTGAACTGTCAGAGTCGCTTATACATACGCTGCCGGTACTCTAATTAAATCGTACTATACACTGTGTGGCGTAACACTGACCTGACCTGACCTGTCACACAAAGGAGAGGGCTGCTAGGCCAACGTGCACACCATCTGTACCCAAATTTAATTACTTATGTTCACATCTGCCGATTTTTAAGTGATTCCGACCCTTTCTACTAGGTGTATCAATTTTCACAAATAGCTGTGTATATTATGATTAAACCGTATTTCAAATTGTGAATTACGGGGATACTTTAGTTGTTTAGAGTCAGGTGTCAAGGTTAAAAGACAGGAGTGGCGGAAAAACGCGGGCTCGTCTACTGCAAGTGATCAGATACATACAATGAGATGGGCGGAGAAGGTGGACGGAGAAGATGGACGAAAGAGCAGAGATCCTCAGACAAGAAGGTTTTGAAAGAGATTTCAAACATATCCATTCAAAGTTTCAACATCATTCAAAATATTTCTTCAAAATTTATTAATTGAATATTCCCCTAAACAGAAAATGACATGTTCTGACGATATCTCCAAATAACATTGCAGTCATTCAATGAAAAAATTATGCCATTTTAGCTACTAAAGTATATTTTAAAACTCATTGAGATTTATAAAATTCAGGAAAACTCTCTTTCGCAGTTTTTTTTCAAGTGCGAATTGATGGGTGCTAGATTAATTCTTTTTAACTCCCATTTCCCGCAGTTTTATAGTATTAAAACATTATTTTTATGTCATTTTCTTCAATATCGTTCTTATCCTTTTATATTAGGCGAAGAAAAATAATCCCCATTAAATTCGCATTGTATCCAACAATCATGTAATCACAAAGTTTTAACTGAACGCAAAAGGCGTACGTACAATGAGGAAAAGAATCCGATAACGTTTCGTCTCTTGCACACATTTTCTCGTGCGTACTTTTACATCTCGCCGTTCCCACGTTGTGAGTGTTTGAAGAAAACTGCTAATAGTTGCGTCATCATTACGTAAAATACGGCACTATTATGAGTCCAATCCATCATTTTGTATGTTCTATGCTGGTTCTATGCAATCTTATGCAATAGTTCGGGTACTGAAATATGATTAATTAAAACATCGACCAACACTCATCCTTTTGCCTGTGTCATACGATCAGTGTGCGTGAGGCGTGCTTAAAACTTGTAAAGACCAATTAATTGTGGGAGTGGCAGTGTCATACTAATTGATATCTAGCGTGAATGTCGAATTGTAAACCTCTATTTCCAGTCACAAGAAGTGAAATGTGTGCGAATGTGTGATATTTCGCCGAGTTACGAAGCAGCTGAGTTAAACAACAACATGTTTACAACGTTACAATCGATCAAAACATGAGATATCGGCAATGATTCTCGTATCGATAGTTCAATTATGGAACCTGTCTGCCGGGCAAACGTAATAGTCCCGTTTGCAAATACAATGATGGGAAACGTTTTGTTTTTGAAAATTGTAATGTTGTGTCTAGGAAATAAATGTAAACAAATGTATGAGAGATTTTGGTCGTTAGAAGAAGTCGATGTGTGATGATCACAACATGAGACTCTTGAGCCGGAAATGGTTGATGCCCTTGTGCCTGTCAATGTCATATTAATATGATGAAATATGTTGCAATTTTGGAAGAAAACTGGTTAGATTTTTGAGATTTTGTTGTTATTATTCGTTCTCCATAATATATTCGTAGAATTAAAGGGTGTTCTATGATCTAATAGTGTAATAATGTGTGTTTTCATTCTTAACCTTACTTCTTTACTTGGTGTTACCGTGTCCGTTACATTGTGCCCCGCAGGCTTAAAAGAGAAGCTAGCAAGAGAAAGATCCAATTCGACTTCACCTGTGAAGGTAAATCCTCCAGGCAGCCCTACAACGAATGGCATAGTCACCTCAACATCCAATTGTGCAATTGGGAGTGGAAGTGAAGAAACATCGAGATTTCATGATGATGAGTTGGCTGTTGGAGACTTGGGTAATAATTTTAATCTGTTCGCTTTTTAAATTGTGTGAGTATTTAGAATTTGAAATATTATGAACGTTATTTGTGACAGGTGAATCTGAAGGGAGTCCCACAGGCCTTCCCAAAGTTACCTCAAAATCTCGCTTGTCAAAGACACTATCTGAGGTGCTATGTGACAAAGGTGCATTGGGATACTTTATTCAATATCTTGAAGCAAGAGACTCAATAGCACTGATAAAATTTTGGCTGGATGTAGAAAGTTTCAAAACAGCATCAGGAGCTAGAGTTAGGAGTGAGTCTTCAGTTGGGAAGTTGTCATGTGTACCAGTTACAAGTGACCAATTAGAGGGAGGAACTAATAATTTATTATCATGTCATCATGATCAAGATAAGGTTTCTCTTGGAACAGATAGTGATTCCTGTATTGGGGATACTGGAAGTGTCTTTGAATCTCCATTGCATTCTTCATTGTTGCTGAGCGAGTCTCTGACTAAAAAGAATGTTCAGCTCTGTTTGGACAAGAAAGATGTCTCACCTGGTGCTGTTTCAGTGTCATCAAAAGAGAGTGACAGTGTTGTTCCATTTTCTTGTCAATCTAATACGTGTGAACGTTCAGGATGCAGTGATGAGTGTAATATACCGGGAAGGACAGATCCATGTAGTTCAAGTATTTCAACACAAAATTGTCCCAAACTGGAAACTCTTCCTCTTTGTAGTTCAGTGTACACCAAAGGACCAATTATATCAAAATCATCTAATGATGTTAGGTCAGTACGAAGTTCAGTGAGTGATGAACATTTGTTGTCTCCATCTCGTGCAAATAAATTGATACAAGCAACATTAAATGATGCTGTGAGGATATTTAAGAAATATATTGCCAGTAATGCACCATATCGCATAAGACTGCCAGATGACATTCGAAATAAAATAGTTGATTCAATCTGCAAAGAGGATGGTTTGGTAGATTCAGATTGCTTCACAGAAAGTCAAACCATTGTCTTCCATGTAATGGAAAAGGAGTAAGTTGAAATGAATGTGTGTCTTTCATAATTTTTGTCAATTTATATCAACAACTTTTTTATAACATGGGAAGGTGTTTTTTTTATTCACATTTTTATTTTCAGGTACTTCAATGACTTTTTGAGAAGTGACTTTCATTGTAAACATCAAATAGATGTACTAACCAGTGGAAATGTTTATCTTTCTGATATTTTGTACAATGAAACAGCACTTTTCTATTTCATGGAGGTGATTGAATTTCATAGTGTGTTTTATTTTGCTTTATAAATTATTAAAATGGCACTTGAATACATATTTCGATTACAGTTTATGGAGCAAGAAGGTAATAGGAATTTATTGGAATTTTGGATGAGTGCTGAAAATTTTCATCAACATTTGATGAGTAGAAAAGGAAATTATGATGTATTAGAAGCTCAGAGTGATGCAATAATTCTGTATGACAAGTAAGTCTTTTCTGTTGCTTTGATTATGTAAGGAAAGCTATATTGTACATCATAGTATATAGTGGGATTCCTGCTTAAAACCATTATATTTCATTTCCAGATATTTTTCTCTGCAAGCTACATGTCCTCTGGGATTCAGTGACAAAATTCGGTTGGAAGTTGAACAGAATATTTGCCGTGATGGAGGACCATTACCAGACTGCTATAAAAAACCAGTGAACATTGTTCTTCATTATTTGGAGAAGGTATAATCCATCATAAAGTTATTTTGCAGTCCTTTTAGTTTCTATGTAAATTTACGTTGTGATTATTTTGTTTTATTTTATTCACAGAATTATTTAACCACATTCTTAACTTCTCAACTTTATTTTAATTACTTATCTGAATTGATCAACACTATTCAGTCAAGTTCTGGACTTCTGTCTAAATCTCGAAAATCAGGTATGAAAAACAATTGCCTGAAAATCATAATATTTATTGTAATATAATATTTGTCATAGAGAATGAGTAACAAAAGCATTATGACTGTTCTCAGGATCAGAATGTAGTAGTGGCCTGAACATATCTATCCAGAACACACTTCTCGCCATGGAGGATAGTGCTGCTCCACCGCGGAAGATCTTGCGCAATGTTGATGAGCGAGAGATGAGCATAGATTCCCGACAGTTATATGATCCTGATTCTTTGTGGAAAAGAAGGCAACAGAGGTATAGGGAAAAGAGTAAAATAAGAAATTAATGTAATTGGTTTAGGGCTGGTTTTACCAATGGTTGTAAACACAATTCATTATGAGCTTTTAACAGTCCATTAGGAAAAAGTTGCATTTCACCAAACTTTAACACTTGCTAAAATTCTATTAAAGTTAGTGTGCAGTCGCATCTCCATTGTGAATAGTTAGCACAAGATTAGGTAGTTTTGGTAAAAATCCAATTTGTATGTTCATAAAATGGAGATAACTGTGTAACTACAAAGTTTTAAATGGGAACCTCCACGTTTTATTACAGATTTAGATCTTGCTGCATAATCTGGCAATTTTAATCTGAATTTTTTTTTTTCAATTCAGGATAGCTTTAGTTAGCCAACATAGTAGTCCTAAAGAAATTGGAAACAGCCAACTTCCATTCTTAACAAATCTACTATTAATAATTTTATTATTTCGAAAATGTTCTTGTGATAGTTCAGCGACTATATTACTATTGCAGTACTGTTGTAATGTGAGATACAGTTGATTTACATAAAGTATAAAATATTTGAGAATTAAATATCTTTTGATAGTACCTACTTGCTGATTAATGTGTTTCTCTTTTACACACAGTGATACATATTTTGTATCAACATGCTGGAAAGACAGAGAATTTTGAATAAGTTAGAAATAAATTGAAAGATATTTTGAAAAAATAGAAATTAACCCTCGACAAATGAAATCAAATAAACTGTTGTTTCACTGCAATTTCGTTTCTGTGTTCTTAGAGTCAACATATGTTCACCAAAGAGTGTTCAGTTCATTGCCTTCTGTGTAGGTGTATGTGTTAAGCATTTTGTACATCCACGAAAGAAGACTTTTAACTAACCGAGTACAAGGAAAAGTTGGTGAAATGAAACCAGTCTTAACAAAGATGTTAATTTTAACAACTGATTTACTAGTGTCTTGTTAGGTGTATGTTGGTGAAACTGGCCTTCGTTGTTTTATTTTGATTTGGTAAACAGGTTTTTCATTTATTATTAACAACAATTTATTATTAAAATAGAAATAAAATGAGTTCAACCATTTGAGTTGGGTTTGATCTGGTGAATTTAATGTGTATTCCCTCTGGACACTAATTGCTCCAATTGAATAAAATTTTGAAATTGGAAATACATTTTTCTTCTTCATGAATATTTTAAAAACTTGGATTTTTTAAGAAATTGCATATTTGGAGTTGATATCGACTTCAAATGAAGCCATTTCATCCTGCGTAATAGTAGCTTTTTAAGATTTTGTATTTCTCTTTTGTCAAATTGTTACTAGAGTATGCTTCTATTAAATAGTCACCACATACCTAATCATATTGACAACATTCAAAAAATTCAAAATGAATTTGTTTGTTGGCTTGCCTTCATTGATAAGGCACTTATGTCTTACCTACATCAGAGATTTGTCATAATTATGCAGAGTCTCTTAAAACTCGGAGTGCTGTCATTACATTTTTTGCGTGAAATACAAGCTATTATTTTTTCAAAAACAACTTCAAATTTTTCTTTAGATTTTTCCTATTATGTAGCAAAGCATGGTTAAAAAAGTGCTATTTTTGGTGAACTCTTTGTATATTCAAAACATTAAAAAAATTATCGTTTCAAAACTACAATATTGATTTGTTTGTTAAATTAAATCTATTCTAAAGAATTTATCTTTCATAAAGATCATGTACAAGTTTTTGAAAAATCAAGTAGTGTTTATGTAAAAATTCTATTTTAAGTTAATGCGGTTTATAAAAAATGTTTTTCATCATCATAAACTAGTCCAAATTTTTTCCTTGGATCGAATGAAGGATGACTAAAAAATTGGCACAGATCTCATTTTCATCGAATTTTTGAGATTTGCATAAGTTGGAAATGATGTCAGGCTTTACTAGCTTTTTTTTTTTTTAAGTGTCAGGAAAGCTGAATACAGACATTGTAGTGGTGGTAATTTTCAAAATATGGTTGTCGAATGTTTTGTTTCTCTTTTTATCTTGTATTCATTTGAAACTGTTAGGCCATTTAATTTTTGTTTTGTCATCATTCTCCCTTTGTGACCACCTCTACCATCATCCATACAGTAGGAAGGAGTCAAACAACCATTGTGGTCACCTGCTCAGGAATAAAGGTGTAAGTCTCCTCATTTGCCTATGCTCAGAAATGAGTATGATATTTGTCATCTAAAACAATATTAGGATGATAATAGTATGTTTATATGTGGAAATGTATGGGTCTTTTATTTAATTCCAAGTACCAGCAAATTAGATATCACTATCACTAAATGTGAATCAACAATTTAAATGGCAAAATAAACATTTATATTACTGAAATATTTTCTCTTTTGTTCATATTGTCCAGTTCTATTATCTTTCAGTTCTGCTCCTTATAAAATTATTTTGTGTTTTTAATGTTTTAATACACTAAACGTATGTCAGTTTGCTGTATGAAGAGATATAGATGCGTAATCAAATACTAATGCCATATTTGAATTACTCATAATAGTAAGTATTGAATAGTTTTTTTTGCATTAAGTGCATGATGTGATTTTTTCTACATGATCAAGATTGAGGATTATTTTTTTGGAGATAGTTTGAAACAAAAAACAACCAAGATTGTACAAGAAACAAGAGTTTGATCATCTCTTCTACTTATGTATTCCATCGAAGAAGTTTTATTGAGATAGTAAAAATATTAATTTTTTTCTATTAATTGTTTCTCAACATGCACATGTCTCTTACCATCAAGATGTTTAGTTAGTTGTGACAATTGTTACTTTTATTGTTTTTTTCTCATTAATGGGTGCATACTTTTTGTTGTAGTGGCCTAAGCTTTGGAAGAATAAATTCATTGGGAAGATTTGAAAGAGATGTCGAGCAAGAGCCCAGTAAGAAGGAAGGTAGATAAAAAAATTACTTTTGTTTAATAATTGCATGTGTATTAGCCAAAGATAACAAGACTTGCCATCGTATTTCAGATTTTAAGTTTGTTCTAATTGCTTCTTTCAGAATCTCGACTAACAAAGGTTGTGAAGAAGCTTGTCAACATGGAAGAAGATAAGGTAAAGAGAAAATCAATATTATGTGAAGAATACCTTCGTCATTATTTGCACATTCTTTGAGAATATTTTAAACAATTTAAAAATAAGAACCATAGTATTAATATTTAAGTACTTCCTGATATTTCTGTTATTAATTATTACTTACTGCATATATTTTATGAGGGGCTCGATGGCTTGTTGTTTATCTTGCTCGCATAGCGTAACTCCGGGTTCTATTCCCAGCTGGGGATAAATTATAACTGTGCGTTGTCCTTACAAATGTCCCGGTATCTATTGCTATGTGATGATGAGAAAGATTACCCTAAGGTTATGAAGACCAGTGTATAAGGTGGAGGGATGTCTTCGTGCTAACCACACAAACTCCTTATCCCTGGCCGAGAGGATGGGCCACCATTGTTGGGCTAGGGCCCATATTGGGCTGTTGAGCCAAAGGACAGGGTAGCATACATTTCAGCTTTTTTTTTTATACCCACGTTTACTCCAGATATTAAAATGTATTATCCAGAGTTATTTTCTGTCTACTGACTTCTAAATTTTATTATTATTATTATTATTATTATTATTAATTATTATTTTTTTTTTTTTTTTTTTTTTTTTTTTTTTTTTTTTTTTTTTTTTTTTTTTTTTTTTTTTTTTTTTTGGTAAGAGCAGCAGGGATATAAAGTGCTGTACTTGTAAACATTTTTGAAATAGTAGGTATGTCCAGAGGCAGAAATTGATATTGATTTAAATTTATTAAAAAAATCATGTAATTATAATTTTACACAACTAAAGTTAATTTAAGCAATTGTCTGAAGGTTATAGAAATTTGCTAAATACTGAGTTCATAGAAATGGACAATAATTCATGAGTATATTCAAAAATAGACAACATTGACTTCATATCTATCAATAAATCTCTTCTTTCCTAATAAAATTATTTTTGTGTTTCAAACATAGTTGTAACAGTTGATGCATTCACTTTAATTACTTCAGCAGCCAGATTTTTGTGTTTAGCATTTTCTCTATTATAATATGAACCATAGAACCATCTTATCTAAAATTCACTGGTAGGACACTATGCGACTTTGTTGCAAGTCATTAAGATACTTTCTTAAGACAATTTGCAATTAAACAAGACTTTTTAATACAGATGTATCACTTTGAATGATAATACTTAGTGTTGAGGATGATATGAACACAGTTTTCATTGCACTGCAGATGGTAATGTCTACCATTTGAGTGACTTTTGTTTTGATGATGTTGTAGGCAAAAGAAGAAATGGCATGGCAAGTTGCAGAAATGATCGTCAAGGATATCACAAACCTCACAATGGGAAGTGATGATGAGCAATCTTGATGACTTTCATTCTATTTTATCCTATTCTTTTTTGTGAAAAATAAGGGTTGGTCCATTATTGTGATATTTGATTCAAGATAGTTTTTTTTATTTTTTGTAGAAATTTGTCTTTTCCTTACTTGCCACATTTTTTTTAAATTCTGGAGAAGGGGATTGAAATTGTTATTGTAACATTTTTAGAATGGGGAGATGTTATGTTATTCTGAGTAGTTTCTTAATGTTGAGTATATTTTTAAATCTTTGAATTCATCGCCATGAATTTCCTGTTCTGTTATGTATATTACGTTTATATGATTGTGATAATGGAATGGTGTATATATATATAACCTGTATATATTTATATTCTTACCTTGCTTATAACTGTCTGTGATTAGAAAGAATTTGTGTAACTAACATTCTGAATATACCATATGTATGTAATGTATTATATAGTTGTTGCAAATTGGTATTTCATAACAAGACTTTTAAAGATGTTGAATGATTGCAGGAATTATTGAAATGATGTCGTATGAAGTTACAAAATTGAAAAATAGTATGTCAGATTTAGAGAAAGCCGTCCTGGAAAGCCTTGAATATCATGTGAATTGTTAAATGGAAACAGTTAAAATTAATCAAAATACATTCTTAAAGTGCTTTTACTACATCACTGTGATTATCTTAATTTTCTATCATTCCAACAATTGGTTTCAAGTTATTCCTGTAAGGTGTTTTCCATAATTTCAATCGTTGTTGATTCTAGAGTTATTTTTGAACTTTCATCTTTGGGCCAGGAATGTGAAGTATAATATAAGAAATGTCATATCATTTTATAGCACTTCTAGAACACACACCATGTGTTGTGCATTTTTTTGGTATTTGAAGTATCCCTAATATAGCAACAAATTAATTAAATCTGAATATTTACTTTATTGTTATTATGCTAATAACCGCATTTAAATCCTACTTTGATTGAATACCAATCTTACTGTTTATTAGAACCCACTCCTATTTAAGAGTAAGTGGCAATTAAGTGCTTCAGTTATATTATTACTAAAGTATATTTTACAAAGTACCTGCATAATATTTTAATTTATTTTTTAGTAGAGTACTTCTTCCTTTATCGCCTTTCTGGTGGAGAAAAATGTATAATTAAACAATAAGAAAATCACCAGTTTTGTTGAATTTTGTGTATATAGTATGAAAGGAGAATGTTTAAATTGTTTTATTTGTGGTGGTGAGCTCTCTATTATGAAGAATTAATGTAACACACTAGAATAATATTTTGTAGATTGATTTTGCTGAATAACATTTCCTTAAAAACTGTTACACGACATAGAATTTTTTGTTTGTTAAAATAAAAAATGAACTAATGAAAAAGTAAGATGAAATCAGAAAGAAGTTCAGTGCTTTATTGTAGTATATTGAAATGTTCAAAAGTCAGTGAAATATAGTTCCCTTTGTACTTGTATCATTTTTCCCCTATGTAAGTATATATATTGTAGTTATATTTTTATGTCATTTTCTAGGTTAACTGAGATAAATTAATTTAGTATGGGAATAATAAAATATTCACAGATAATGGCTGGTATACATAATATCATATGTGAACTTGACCCTTTGGAAGTCACGTGCCATTAGTAGTCGCACACGGATGCCTGGTATCTCCTCTCTATTCTTTCTAATATTACTAACAATTATTGCCATTTTGCAATCTATTCATGATATTCATTTTCCTTGAATAAATGTAGTTAATTTTTAAAATCTAACATGAATGAATTTTAATGGTTTTAAATGCAAAATAATTCAAGTGGTGATCATATATTTTCATACTTAAAGGAAAGTACTACAATATAAGTTACATTTTATTTACATGCAAAAAAACTAAAACTGTAATACTATTTTTTGTTAAGTATTGTTCTCTCTGTCCTCTTATTGTTTACAAATATCACAAATAAGTCAATTTTTTGTAATATCATGAATTAATCTGGAGGTGCATGGGGATTTCAGAAGTTCCCTCCCACAAATAATGCATTCTAATTTTAGCACATTTACAAGTATATATATTTCCCTTCCTTGGAGGGAATGTAAACAAGCTGTTGAAAAGTACTGTAAATTTCAGAACAGTAGGAAAGTACTATTTCATTTGACAGTTATCACAGATGGCCTGGCTATACTTAAAAACTCCATGTGACTACTTAGGGTCAATGTGGGAAGTTACCATTTTGTAATATTTGACAGATAATTCTGTTTTTTTCATTAGCGAAATAATATTTTTGTCTACTTTTTAAACTTTTTTTACAGTAAATACGGGTTCCTTTTCAAACAGAGAAAAAAATAGTTATAAAAAGATTACTGGATTTCCTTACTTATTATTTATAGAACATTATCTGATATGAACTTAATATGTAATTTGAGTTACTACATTCTTCAAGGTTCAGCTTATTTGGACATCTAAACAGGGCAAGATTGGAACAAAACAAGGAGAATCTTAAAATCAATATAAATTCTAATTCACTAATTGATTTTCAAATTAATTTTATCTCACAGATCTGAGTCTTTGTTTGATAAAGAAGCAGCAATGAAAGTGTAGCAATATTGAATTGCTTCCACCTATACATAATACCAGGGCTATAATGCTGAAAAGCTCATTTCAGAGACTGCTCCAATGAAATTAAGTTTCAGGATGAAGAAATTTTCACTTTTAAAAGGATTTTGAAATGGCAGAATGTCAACATGGGTCAAACTAATATTGTAGGTCATTCTTTATTTACAGGGTTGATGATAGTCATAATCATTGATTATGACTTGTAATGATTTTTTTGCATTCTTAAAAATTGTGAATTAATGATCAGATAGGTATGTGATTAGCTTCAACACCAGAAGAATGGCATATGCTAGACAATAGAGTAATTGATGTGTACAGAGTTTTGTCTGAATTACTTTTTTTCAAGACGTTACACTGCTCATTGGGCAAATACGTAAGCAAACTGAGTACGAGCTTAGGATCCCAAACATTTAAAAAATGTTTACATTAGTTTATAAATGTAAAATTTTTTATTAATGATTGAACTTTTGAAAAAAGATGTCTTCCACAGACTTACTTTTCAATTGTAAATTATGATTATCTTGTTTCAAAAACAGAATATGCAATTCTTATTTTTTAACTTTTATGATTTGTTATCATAAAATTGTACTAATATCATATATTAATTTGGATTTTATTCACCTACGTTCACTATTTTAATATTATTAGAGTACCCCTACAAATATTAATTCAGCCTTGACTGCACATCAACATCTGTTTATAGTATAGAAACCATCATTATCGGACTTATAAGGAGTACATTCTAGATAGAATTGAAGGATGTGTGGCATATCAATGCATTAGTTTCTTTTTTAGGAAAAGGGTTATGACCAGACTTTATGGTGATGGAATTCATAGGGGCCTATTTATATTTGTCCCTTGTATGAAATATCCAGTAAATTTTGTCAAGAAAAAAGATGAAAATAAAATAGAAAGGTTTTTTCTATACAATAAGTTTTTCTCAACGAATCACTTTACTCCTGAGGAAAACACTATCAGATTTCTTTTTTGAAATCTTTGCCTTTTGTAAATTAATTGTGTAAGCTTGTAAGAAACTAGATCTTAGTGTTAAGTGTAAGATATTGGTGTTATTTATTCTCTGATACCAGAAGAACTTTCTCATCTGTGTAACAACATACAGTAGGTAATGAAGCTTTGTATTTATCATGCAATTTCACCAGGTTTTCTGATCAGCTTCCTCACTTGATTTTTAATACTAGTCACTACCTTTTCTGCCTATGGATTTTGTAGTGTTTTAAAACAGTCAAGGAAGAGTATGTATAGAAATAAGATGATAAACAGAAAATGTTTTATTATAGAAGCGTGATAAAAAGGAATGTATGCATGATATAATAGTAAAAAAAATACCAGTCTTTGCCGGTATGCATTTTCTGAATGACTGAAGAAAGTAAGGAACTACTCTCAAGAACATTGGAAGCAACAAATTGAATTTCATCTTTTTTTTTTTTAAATTATCAGAGCCTAGAAGAGGCATTGACAAAGTAATGAAAGGAAAGGCATTTTTGACACTCTGTCAGTGGAAATCAAATTAAATTAATCATAGCAAGTTTTATTTACTATAAAAACAGAGTTATAAAAACCTTCAAAATTTGTACAAAATGTATGGTTTAAATACATAACAGAAAATTGATTTTGTCCTTGAGGTTCAATTCGTTTGAGATTCAAACTCAAGATCTATTTTGAAGATGTTCCTGGACCTCAAAGATACCTTCAGTTATTTGCACAGCACATTTGATATTTCTGATTTATTTAAATTTCATCCCCTTATAAAATGTTCTCCTGAATGTTACTGTTATTACATAAATAAATGACTTTTTCTATTTGAAACTAATATATTTGAAGGAAATGACTAGTGTTTCAAATATGCAAAGTGAAAATGTACTCTTGATTTTTCTTTTATATATTTATTATATTTATTCTAATTAACAACTGGATCTACTCCGTTGACACTCCTTGAAGTTGTGGCATTGTATTCATGACTCTGAAGGAGGGGTGTCCTTTCATGCACTTCTGGACTATTTGGCCAGGGATCTACTGGAGGGCTGTCATCAGATTCTGGAAGTACAGTGGTTGAAATCTGCCTACGGCATGGTATATACAGTTTGTCAGCAGTCCCTGACCAGCGTCTGTATACGAGACTGTTGCAGAGAGCTTGTAGAGGATTTGTTACAGCCTAGAAAGCAAAATGTTTTTAAAAAATATCCCTCAATTGACAAGAAAAGAGATATTTAGGTCCTCACTCACCATTACATACCACAACCCAATTATAATACTTTCTGGGAGATTAAACCATAAAGTCCATAGGAGAATGCCATTGAGTATATTTGGCAACCAACAGAAATAGAAAACAAAATTAATTAGACAAAACTTCAATTTAATGGCATCCACTAATTCTCGCTCTTTGCTGGTGAACTGATTGAAGCTCATAGATATCAAACGTTCTACATCTTGTGATGAGCTCATATAGAGAACTGGATTTGCTATCATAACCACAGCAATTGGAAGATATGTAGCGAAGTAATTTGGAAGTATGTGAAACAGTGCACTTGAAAGAGAGTTCAAGTTGTGGCAACTAAGGAAGATAAAAATCTTAATTAGTTTACATCTCTGAAAATGGTTAGAAAGGAAGATACAATTTGCTTTTAAACTTACTTTGCATCTGGAAAATAAAGAACCAACAAACCAAGAGATGTTAAAATGGCAGGTACAGTCCATGCTACAACATGATAAAAAGTTGGATGTCCTTCTTTTTCTTTAAGAACAAGTCTCATATCAATAGCATAGCACAGAGTCCACAACCAGGTTGCAGTGTAAAAATATTGAATCCATGCCTACAGAAAGTAAGAAATACAAAAAAGAAAATCTGAAATTTCCAGCTTCTTTATGCACATAAAAGATTATTTTTATAATGTGTGCTTACTGAAGTAATGGCACAAATAAGAACATTTGAAGTATCATCAGATTCTTCCACTATACTTTGTAAGTTAAGCCATAACGTTGATCTTGTAAAAACCCCTAAAAATTATTGAACAATCAATACTATAAGCTCTTTTATTTGCAATTACCATTCATTTATGATATAAGAATTGCAATACCTATGGAAGCTAGAAAATCAGCTATTGCTAGCCATATAACTATCTGACGCCCACGAAGTGCTGAAAAGGTCTGCCAGCGATGTGGTATTTTAGCACTAGTTTTTGGAAGCACCTGCAATTGAGATATTAATAGCTTGGAAAAATATACATGTATCTTCCACATAAACCATTAAAACCCTAATAACATAAAGCATATGATAATATAATAAAAGACTACATTATAGTGATATACCTGATAAAGAGCCCCTAAAATTCCGATAAATGACGATATTACACACACGATATTGTAAGAAGTAGAATTAAATTCACGCATTATCTTGACCGAACTGTAAGTTATATTCGGCCAATGACAACAAAATGTCTGAATCGTTGGATCTGCCATTCTTCTCTGGGGTAAACTTGTCTCGCAAACTTCAAGTTCCGACTACATTATTTCTCACGCTCCAGCGCGTCGAAGAGAGAGGGGAGGGCTAGCAAGCGTCCCTCCAGGAGCGCAGACGCTTCTCATGGCAGCGCGAGGCCGAAGGTAGCTCAGATTACATAATCAGGTAAACCGGTTTACACATTGCCGGAAACATACAGCATATGTATTCCCAAACTTGAATCATCATTCTTTTACCGATAACAGCTCATTTTATTTACGTTGAGATAAATAATTGTGTACTTTTCGAAGTAGAAATATTACAAAACGAATAGTTTGTTATCACTTGTATTTGTATGGCCTCTTTTCACGATTCATATTCCCGCTCAAAACAAACTCAAGTATCCAACTTAACATTCTCAATGCTTTTCATTCGACTACATAATAGGAATAAGGAAATAGATTTCCTGCTATAAACTTTGCATTTATTTTTTAACATTTCGTCTTCTTTTCATCTAAAAGTATGCCAGCATAATTAATCTTGTTTACTGCGCTATTCGCATGTGTTCTGAATGATTTATGTGTAAATGTATTGAGTTGTATTCACGACATTATTGGCAACGCATTGGTGCTGGTTTGAGGTGAAAATTAACATAGTAAAAAGAAAAGCTTTCCAAAATCAAGCGACTGTTTGCTTTCAATAACCTCAAAAATATAAAAAACTGCAGGAAACCACCTAAAGTGGCTAGGAAACAAAAACTTATACTTATTTGAATGAAAGAAAGTGCGTAAATTGCATTTACAAGTGTATGTTTCACATGATAGTGGGATGCTGAGTACTGTCCATGTTACTTTACAAAAACCAAGCAACAATTTCTGACAAGCCTGGATTTCAAATATATTGGATATTTGCATTAATTCTTTCTAGAAACATGAAGTTAATGTGTAGTATTACTAGTCAATGTCATGGTGTCTAAACACTTGGTATTATCCTTCTTTTTATCTCATTAAGTTGACCCTCCAATGACAGATAAGCCATAACAAGAGTAGCTATTGCAAAAGTTATAATTTTGGTCATTCTCTGTATTTTTTTATTTTATTACATTTGAATTTTATTTTTATTTTTCTCTCTTTAAATATATTATTATTTATTTTTAAAGTAAAAATGTTTGCAATTGTGTATGAATAGAATGTTGGTGGTTTGTTAATTCTTTTAACCTAAATGAATAATTTACTTGAAAGAAAATGCCATCCACAAATTAAATACCATATCATAAACAAAAATATTAAGCTCAAATTGTTTATCTATGTTCAGGGGAGGGGGAATTCTAAGATTTATTCCCTAAAAGTCTTCTTTTTCTATTCTTTTACTTGAACACTTCTAAAACCTCTGACATGTTATCATTATAAAATGAAGAGTATCTCCTTTTTATCTACTACACATGAGTACTTGCTGAACTCAAGGCTGTTTTTAGTTGTGTATGTCAAAACCAGCCTATTCTCTTGTAAATGTTTCAAAACATCTGCAAGAAATATTTAATATTTTTAGATCAATAAACATCAATGAAAATTTTCATTTCTGTTTAGATTTTACCCAGGCAAAAAATTTTCAGAGAAAAATATTCTTTTGGCAAAAACTAATAATTGATCAGTGTCAGGATTCAGGAGGGGGCAAGAGGGAGCAACTCTCTCCGTTTTGGGACAAATTAAAAATATATATTTATACATTTCATTTCCAGATCTTCAATTTTATATTAAAAAAATATTTACTTGCTTCTGTCTTTAGAGAAGAAATTTAATAATTAAGCAAATAATAATTTTATTAAGCTGATTTAATAATATGCATTAATAAATTGGTGAACTTTAACTCAATATTATAAGATGCATGGGATAATGTTTGGCATTATTGTGATTATCCCGTATTAATAAATTCTCTTTCCATTACATCTTGCTTTTAAATGTTATTTACTTAAAAATTAAAAACGTTTCGTGCTTAAAATCATAGTCATAACTAGGGCCAGATATTTATGACATGCATTTTTTAATTTGCCTTAAGAAGACAAAGTAATGTAATGCTGCAGGAAAGAGCGGCAAATTTTAAGAAGAAAGAAGCATAAAAACTAATGTAAGGGCCCTGGTAACAAAAAAGTCGATAAATCCAGTTGCTAAGTTTAGAAAAGAAATTTGGTGTAGTCAGAATTCATTATTTTGTGGGTTCTTGATACCAAAAAATCGATTGATGGCAAAATGCTTGTCCATCTATCCATTAACAACAGCATCTTAACGGTTTTTCTCCACCTGACTTTCTCCAAAACTGATATGCATCAGTCGATCTAGCTGCTGTCGAGGTCTCTTGAATTTGAAACATTTTAATTTTGGGGGGTAGAGTAAGAGAATAATGCAAGTCTAATTTTTGTTGAAAAATCTGATTTTTCGAAAATTGGAAAAATTAAAATTTTTTTCGGCGTCTTCCTGCACCTACAATTATAAAGATATAGATTCTTTATTCTAATGAAATTTGTTTCTTGAAAATAGATTTTGAAATTCGATCATGTACAATTTTTAGAATACTTGAGTACTTTTTGCTTGATTTTGCAAGAAATATATAGGCAATATTTTATTTTATTTAAACCTTTTTTACTCAAAAGTAGGTCCATTGTTTTTCATTATATTTTGTTGTTGAATACTGTGAAGGACGTTCAAGAGAATGATGCATGACTCATATTCATTAAAAACCAAGATTTTTTGAAAATTGAAATCATTCAAACTTACTTTAGCATCTCTCTACAACTACAATTATGAAGATCAACATATTTTCACAATGAAATGTGTTTATGAAAAACAGATTTAAAATAATGTCTGGTTATTAAATGCATTCATAGCTTTTTTTCAAACTCAGAAATTTCTTATTCTCTATTCAGAAATTCCCCAAAAAGCAAACTACTCATAAAAGGCAACAATCACGATCTCGTGAATTACAAACCAATAGCCTTATTATCTGGATTCTCAAAAATGCTAGAAAAGCTTTTTAATGATAGACTTAGAAAATTTCTCAATTCAAATAACATATCGACAGAGGCCCATCATGGATTCAGAAATGGTAAATCTACAGACACAGCTATATTCACCTTTCTAAATGACATACTTGTTGCTCTAGATCAGAAAGAAATCCCCATCGGTTTGTTTTTAGATTTATCAAAAGTATTTGACATTGACCATCGCAAACTGTTATCCAAACTTGAAACATTAGGAATCAGAGACATTACATTGCACATCAATAGGATACCTTTCAAATCATTGTCAAGTCAAATCATGCAATTTTCGTATCAATTATCATTCATATTTCATAATTTGGTTTTTTTTCCCATAGATTTTCATAATATTTTTATCATTTTGATTCCATTTTTGCATACTTGCTTTCAGACATCTCAAGGGATTTTTCACATCTCCTCATTCAAACGTTGTTGGTGTTTTAAGGGACGACCGAGCAGATCAATATTTCATTTCCTGTGAAACATTGAACAGAACTAACCACTTAACAATTGCTGTTACCTTGCATTAGCAATGAATCTGTTTTGGCTTGAAGAAGAAGTGAAGTGAGAAAATTTTCTAATTCTAGTCACTGCTGCAATCACATGGTGAAAGCTTGCAAGGTTTGAAGCTTCTCAACCCTAAAATGAAACAGCATTGCAGGTGCATTAAATAGAGTTGCGGAAGAAATTCGTAGAAATTATCCTGATGTAAAAAAGTTTATTTCTGCATTGAGAAAATATTCATCAAAGCTCTTTTATGAGTACCAACATTCAAGGACATTGTTCCTTTGATGTCATTGCTTCCCCAACCCATTATTAGAAGTTCAGGTGAGACAGGTGGCTTAACGCCGCAAACTACTACTACCAATTAAAAAGCAATGAAATGGGTTAATGCAATCAATGAAGGCGAAGCTGTCTCAAACAAAATCACCATATCGCTGTTTTCAAATACCACATTGATCAGAGATCTCGCTCATATCAAAACCAAAATTTTTAGTCATATTTTTATAAATGCACAAGATCATATTTAAGGTCACAAATGCTTGCATGTTTCAATTTATTTTTAGGTCTTTAACATCCAGGCTTTAGTCATAACACTCAAATTAATTCTCAAAAAGAAAGAGTATTTCATGTTTATTGTAGACTATAGATATAAATAAAACTATAAGTTTTTTTGTTCTTGCCCCAAACCGCAAATTGCATTTTAATTAAAAGAATTTATTAATGAAGATTTTAAAATATGCATCTTATGTATATATATGATCAAGGTTATCACTTCTTTTGAAAGAATAAAAATGAATATCAGGTTTTCAGTTATCAATAGCTGTGTCAAAGTGAGAGAAGAAAAACCCTTTTACACAAATCAGCCAGTCACGCTTTGCATGGATAATTACAAATATGGCCAGCCTGGAAAATATTGAATGCTCTCTTAATTTCGTTGTTATAAAATTCTACAATGTAAAATATTTACATGGAAAGTAGAGACCAAGAAAAATCAAGAATTATAAAAATATCTTTATTTTATAAACATTTACAGTCAATATTATGACAAAATTTAACAAACAATAAATAATTTGTATCCATACATATAAATGCACAAAACGAATGAACTAACATCAAGAATCTCAAACACTCGCATAACAAGTTACATTTCTCCATTACTGTGAAAAGGAAGACCTGGTAAAGCGTATCATGAAATGTTAAATCACTTCCAGGCCGGGAAATATGTTTATCAATTAAATTTTAAGAAATTAATCTTGCATGTTCATGCATACAAGGAAATAGAAGAATACAACAATATGTTACTTGCACAATATACATCATGTGTTTTCGTTTCCATAAATGTATGAGGAACCAGAAAAAACACAAAACCCAAGTTATCACTGAATTATATTCATTGAATGGTCAATAATTGAGTATTTTAATACACATCACAATCAAAATAAACAACACTTTCTAGAGTAAATTATCACTTTTGCTTGTTTATTTCTTATTAGAAGAACGCATTTATTGTAAGCAAAATATGTTGTGGCATTGAAATTATTTTTTCTCAGCACATCAGAAAATATGAGATTCAAAAAACTACACAAGGAAAACTGAATATTCAGGCACAAATGTATAGTACCTTATTAGTACCTTATTATTTCTTTGATTT